TGTTGACTTGAATGTTGACGAATGTTGACTTGAATGTTGACTTGAATGTTGGCTTGGATGTTGAATTGAATGTTGACTTGAATGTTGGCTTGAATGTTGACTTGAATGTTGACTTGAATGTTGACTTGGATGTTGTGACACTTGGAAAATGTTGACTTGAATGTTGCTGGATGTTTAATTAATGTTGACTTGAATGTTTTGAATGTTGGCTTGAATGTTGACTTGAATGTTGACCTTGAATGTTTGACTTGAATGTTGACACTTGAATGTTGACTTGAATGTTGGCTTGATTGTTTGACTTGAATGTTTGACTTGAATGTTGACTTGTCTTGATGTTGACTTGAATGTTGACATGATTGTTGACTTGAATGTTGACTTGAATGTTGACTTGAATGTTGACTTGAATGTTGGCTTTGAATGTTGACTTGAATGTTGACTTGACTTGAATGTTGACTTGAATGTTGACTTTGATCGACTTTTGAATGTTGATTGAATGTTGACTTGATGTTGACTTGAATGTTGGACTTGAATGTGAATGTTGACATGAATGTTGACTTGAATGTTGACATGAATGTTGACTTGAATGTTGACTTGACATGTGTTGACTTGAATGTTGACTTGAATGTTGACTTGAATGTTGACTTGATGTTGACTTGAAATGTTGACTTGAATTTGACTTGAATGTTGACTTGAATGTTTTGTTGACTTGGATGTTGACTTGAATGTTTGACTTGAATGTTGATGACTATGTTGACTTGAATGTTGACTTGAATGTTGACATGAATGTTGACTTGAATGTTGACTTGAATGTTGACTTGGATGTTGACTTGAATGTTGGAATGTTGACCTTAATGTTGAATGAATGTGACTTTGAATGTTGACTTGAATGTTGACGTTGAATGTTGGCTTGAATGTTGGCTTGAATGTTGACTTGAATGTTGACTTGAATGTTGACTTGATGTTGACTTGAATGTTTGACTTGGATGTTGAACTTGATGTTGACTTGAATTGACTTGAATGTTGACTTGAATGTTGACTTGGAGTTGACTTGAATGTTGACATGCTTGACTTGAATGAATGTTTGACTTGTTGACTTGAATGTTGACTTGAATGTTGACTTGAATGTTCACTTGAATGTTGACTTGAATTTTGACTTGAATGTTGACTTGAATGTTGACTTGAATGTTGACTTGACATGAATGAATGTGACTTAATGTTGTTGAAATGTTGACTTGAATGTTGACAATGTTGACTTGAATGTTGACTTGAATGTTGACTTGAATGTTGACTTGGATGTTGACTTGAATGTTGACTTGAATGTTGGCTTGAATGTTGCATGAAACTTGAATGTTTGACTTGATGTTTGACATGAATGTGACTTGAATGTTGACATGAATGTTTGACTTGAATGTGACATGAATGTTGACATGAATGTTGACATGAATGTTGATTGATGTTGACATGAAATGTTGACTTGAATGTTGACATGAATGTTGACTTGAATGTTGACTGAATGTTGACTTGAATGTTGACTTGAAATGTTGACTTGAATGTTGACATGATGTTGACATGATGTTGACTTTGAATGTTGACTTTGAATGTTGACTGAATGTTGAACCCCGATTTGCCTCTCCCCTTCATGACCATCTACCTATCAGTTTCCTTTCGCTTCCCCCCCCCCCTGGAAGAACGTCTTACCCCCCCACCCAACCCCCCCCCCAGAAGAGAAAATGGAACACGCACTTTACTTTTCCCCTCAAATTCCCTCTGCGAACTGCGACCACCCCCCTACGAGCCACCTCACGCACTCTCCCTCACCTTCCCCTCCCTCTCCCCTCGACACCCCCTTCCTCCCTCTCCCCGGACAACCCCCTTCCTCCTCTCCACCGACACTCCTCCCTCTCCTCCGACACCCGAACCCCTTCCCTCCCTCTCCCTGGACACCCTTCCTCCCTCTCCCTCCGACACCCCTTCCCTCCCTCTCCCCGCGCACCCCCTTCCCTCCTCTCCCCGCGACACCCCTTCCCTCCCTCTCCCCGCGACACCCCCCCTTCCCTCCCTGCTCTCACCCACTTTGAGCCTCGCCGACCCACGACCTTCCTGACGCGCCAGATCCTGCCCGCTCGCCTCTCCGGTATTGCTGAGGCTACTGAAGGAAGCGAGGCATTTACGTGTCACGCTAAGAAGCTTCATCAAGAATAGCAAGAGAAAGAACAAAGAAAAAAAAGTCTTGAAATCAAGAAAGCGAAAGAAAGACAGAAAAAAAGTCTGAAGCTTCATCAAGATAGCAAAAGAGAAAAAGAAAAAAAAAGTCTTGAAGTTCATCAAGAATAGCAAAGAAAGAACAAAGAAAAAAAAGTCTTGAAGCTTCATCAAGAATAGCAAGAGAAAGAACAAAGAAAAAAAAAAGTCCTGCACCCAGCCGCCAGTGGGACGACGCAACAGATCAAAAGTTCCTGAAGAGTTCTACTCCCCCCCTCCCCTCCCCCCCGACTACTAC